CGTCCCCTGCATTGGCAGGCGGACTCCCAACCACTGAGCCACCAGGGAAGCCCCTAAAAACTTTTTATCTGTGTCACAATCCATTTCTAGTCTGTGTCTCTTTCTCAATAGCCTCAATCCTACCCACCTTCAAAGTTTACCTTCTGACTATGTCAGAAGCCTTCCACAGTCACCCCCGCTTAAAGCAACCGTAATTTGTGTTATTCTAAGCATGTGTATTATTTTACTAATTGGCCAAGTAAAACTCCCGAAGGTGTGGAGTGTGTCACACGCGAGAGATGCAAACGAGTAAGAATGAGGTTAATTATCAAAGGCATAACTTTAAATTTGCTCCCTTTTTCCCAAAAGGAAACAAAACAAAATACCCTGGTTCTATAAATATCAGTAAAAACACAGTACCAGTGGCACCTCTACAGGAGCCCTAGTCAGAGCCAATGACTTACAGAATGTGCTCGGAGATATGTGTTAGCCAAGTAAACTAGCTCCATACACAGGGCTGGGATCCCACTTGAAATAAGTAACCACCACCTGCCTTCCATTTCATTCCACAATTTTGTACCCTGAGACTTGGAGCTCAGGCACCAAGTCTCCCTGTGAGCCCGGCACACAAACCGGACAGTCAGAGGCAGCGAGATCCCTTATCGGGAAGAGAACGACAGCAGACATGTCGACACAGGCCCTACAGGACAGAGGCGGTGGGAGGCAGCAGTGTTAGAGGCAGAGCAACCCTCACCAAACCCCCCCACCCCCAATATAGGGTCCTGCGGAGCTGCCGTGAAATCAGACAGGACCTTCTCAACAGCATCTCCTACTGGGAACAGGGGTGGAGGAGTGGAGGCTGGAGAGGCATGGGTTCCATTTATTAATCAGCAGCTCAACACAGTGGGAGGTTTTCTTATCTAATTACAGAAGCTGCTGGAAACTGCAAGGGAAGACAGGATTTATGGCCTAGATGACACTGCCTCTGTATTGTAATTAAAAGTTATTTTTAATACCTGTTTGGTGGGATACTTTGGATTATTAAAAATATATTTTGCAATTTAAAACTTGCTAAAGGGCAAAGAACACAGCAGAAACGTAATACAACAAGCTTGCCTAATGTGAAACAATTCAACGTTTTGACACTGGGAGGTGGGAAAGGAAAAGAATCTCTCTCCAACTTAAGGCTGTGAATTTCCTATAAGAAAGAGGGAAAGAAAAGCCAAAAAGAGCCCTCCAGGGCTTCCCTGGTGGCGCAGTGGTTGAGAGTCCACCTGCCGATGCAGGCGACACAGTGCCCCGGTCCGGGAGGATTCCACATGCCACGGAGTGGCTGGGGCCGTGAGCCATGGCTGCTGAGCCTCCGCGTCCAGAGCCTGTGCTCCGCAATGGGAGAGGCCACATGCAGGTCCCTCTGGAAGGATTACTTTCCTTGGAATCTTTTGTTATTGTATTTTTTCCTTTGCATTTGGCTTTGGACTTACCAAAAAAAAAAAAAAAAAAAAAAAAAAAAGGGTACTCAAGTCGGTTTTTAAAATTTCAAAAGTAACCCAGCTACTTATTTTATCCATTAACTAGAGTTTGCATACCACCCACCAGGAGTATAGACAACCCATTCGCAGCCATTCACCCAAAGCACCTAATCCTAATCTTTATCCTTGTGCTCTTGCTTTGTCCTGTGTCCCTGGTTCAACCACAAAAGCCCAGAGGCCAGTGCCAGGGCAGTGCGATGGGGGGTCCAATGTGAGCTGTGGACAATACGTGCTGTGTATGATTTGGGGGTTGTTTTAAATCCATTTCTCTTCTTTCATCCAAGGGTCCAGTTTCAAGAAGGGGACAGACAAAACGCATCCCGGTGGCCACAAGTGGCTACAGAATCAGGCCAAGATCAGGCACGGACCATTTAACCCCCAAGGGCCATTTCTAGAATTTCTATTTCCCCAGATACACAAAGGAGGCACTTTCTTCCATGTTGGCTCTTCTTTAACAGCAGGGAGGACAGAATCTATTATGTGAAATAGACTTTTGAAATTGTCTGACAAATATGGGGAGGGGAAGGAACCCTCACTGGCATGAGCTTCCCAGATCACTTCTGTATTTCATTTATCCCTGCTGTGAATATTCTCATTAAAAGTAATTCCAGGGGCTTCCCTGGTGGCGCAGTGGTTGAGGGTCCACCTGCCGATGCAGGGGACACGGGTTCGTGCCTCGGTCCGGGAAGATCCCAAATGCCGCAGAGCGGCTGGACCCATGAGCCATGGCCGCTACGCCTGTGCGTCCGGAGCCTGTGCTCCGCAACGGGAGAGGCCACAACAGTGAGAGGCCCGTGTACCGCAAAAAAAAAAAAAAAAAAAAAAGTAATTCCAGGAGCCCATTATGGAAAATATGCCATGGAGACCACCAGATATTACACATCATGAAGAGACTATAAAAGCATTTGAACGTGTTATTCAAAAATAAATTTAAAATGAGCTTTACAGGGGCCATACCAAGTTTATGGGATTTTATCTTATGCCAATAAGAACACTGTGCTCCTGTATTCTCTTCCGAGTTCGAAGCAGGCTTTGACTTCATGTCAGGGCATAGAATTGTGGTCCTTACCTGCCACATTAATTTTCTCAAGTGCTACCAAGCTGGGAACAGCTGTGGTGGAGTTGGTCAAGTTCGTCCCTGTGCCATTGATTACGAGGTTGTCCACCTTTGACTCTAACTTGCCAATGCGCTGCAAAATGTTATCCAACAACACAGCGAGAGTCTTCTTCAAATCTGTAAAAGAAAACGTACATAGTTTGAAAATCCTTTGGTCCCCGCACATTTGCCTGGCGCGCACACGCTCACCCTCCCTTTGTTTGTCTCTCTGACATGAAGGACAAAAGGTGGCAAATCAAAAAGTACCACTTGAAGACCTGTCCTAACAAACCACCTCTTAAAGATGACAGAGGCCACATTCAAGTGGCCCAAAGAGTAAAAAACAAATCAGTTCGCTCTATAAGACAACTTTCGCGGTAAGTTAACATTAAAATTATTCCTGGCTACTAGGTTGAGAGAGAAAACTCCGTTACTCAGCAACCTACCAAAACACTCTGTTAAATTCTTCCTCGTTCTAGCATGGTGGTTACTGACACACAGAATGACAAGCCCAAAGTGTAGCAAGGCCCTGAAGTAACTTCCGGATCAAGTTCATTGTTAGTTTTTTTAGTGCTGTAGAATCTCGCGTGTCCAAATTTTTTGCAAAGTCTTTACTGCTGTTGGTTACATATGGTAATACTTAATAAAAGCTACAGTTCCAGATTCCAGACATGCTGGATAACCCAGAGTTAACTATAATGCAATTTAGGAAGACACTTAAAATAAAGACCAGATTCATTCATTCATTCGAGACATATTTATTAAACAACTACTATGTGCCAGGCATCATTCTAGACGCTGGGACTATTCTTTTCTGGTGCTTACATTTAAGAGTTGAATCTCTTTCTTACGTATCTGGCTGTGGGTTATAGAGAAGTGTTCTTCTCTCTGGATAAATTACAGACACATTATCTTCATGCCTACATAAGTATTTACTAAGTTTGTATACAAGGTATTCTACACACAGAGAGAGAAATTAAGTTAGCTGCCTCTCCTCTGGAAACTCATAATCAAAGAAAGACAGTCTGACTTGTACATGTGATAAAAGCAGGAGGACCATAGGATAGCCATCTAGGTGAACAGAATTCAGACTCGCTTATGAATTGGGAGTGGGCCAGGGGAGTAGGACATAAGTGGAGGGAACGGGATGCAGAAAAGTCCTGAACTGAGACAAATGGGAAGCTGTCACCTTCCATTCTGCTGGAAACAGAGCACCCTAGCGCCGAACAGGTGCTCTGATCCGGCCAGGAAAGAAACACACACTGGATCAATCCACCAACCCCAGAGCACAGCCCATGACCCTCCACCAACAGGCATGTAAGGCCTCCTATTTTGCCAGGTCAAGAGAGACACTCAGCTGAACAGAAACAAAGGTGTGTGTGTAATTGACATGGAATTTTGCATCCTTGGTGGTTTACGGACAGCTTCACTGAAGCTGACTAAAAACTACAAACAGAAACAGAACCCACAACTTCATCCTGAAAGTCTGCTTTTATGTGCTTATGGGCATAATCTCAATCGTTCCACCACACCCAACACCAAACATCAGATTTCTTCACCACGTTAAGATCTGTAGCAGATTGTTCATTCACTCACTCTAACAAACATCTGACCAGGTCTATTTTTTGCTCTTCAGCGTGTACCTTACCCACAGGTAGTAAGACAAGCTGGCCATGACATTAGAGCAATTGGCTAAAAATATGATTATAACAAAGAAGGTTAGAAGGGAACTAAGAATTCCTGAACGCCTATCACGTGCCATGCACATTTATAAGGAATTCCATTTATCTTCACATTCTCCATGAAGCAGGTATGACTTCATTTTACAGAAGAGAAAACTGAGGTTCACAGACAGAAAGTAATATGCTCATGGTTAAAGAGATACAAAAGCGCAACGCAGACTTGAGTCAGGTCTGCCTAATTCCCCTGACAACTCAGTGTGACCAGCCAGAAGTCAAGAGCCGGGCTAAAAAAGGAACCAAGCATGAAATTCAGCGACTTTCACCCACAGCATAACGATTGAGGGCTCATTAGACTCTAATCACCTCCTAGGTTTGAATCCTCTCTCTCCATTTTTGCATCCTTATTTGTACGAGTTGAAAGAATAAGCCTATCTCTTCGGGGTTGTAATGAGGACTTAATGAGTTAATACTTATAAAATGTTTTGAACACTGCCTGGCACACAGTAAACACTACATAAGTGTCTGTTACATAGTAAATAAAAAATAAAACCTTTGGAAAATGCTCTCATCCTTCCTAGAGAAATCTCTCCCTGAGTGATGCAAAGCTTTGCCGTTTTATCCAAAGGGTCATGAGATCATTCTCCTCCGGGGGGCTGCAGTCCCACAGTCAGCATGACTCACAGCCTGTCCCTGACACATCATTGGCTGGCGTGGACAGCAGGAGTCAGCCACCAGCTCTGCTCTTACGCTGAATCTAAAGCACTGACCCCTTCTCCAGAGCTCTGAAGATTGCCAGAGGACAGTCACACAGACGGGGGCAATGGTGCCACTCGGGGGCTGTATTCACTGTAAAGAACCCACTCCTCAGATAAATGATAACAATCTCCCCCATCTCCAGCCTCTTTGCCCAGAGCCTGAATTATCAGCCAAGGAGTCCATATGTAAAAATGGCATTTAACTCTTACCAGCAATTGTCATTAGCCAGATGCAGAGTCCCTGACCCTCCAGTTTGGGTCAGGCTTTCTCAACTTTGACACAACTGACACTTGGGACCAGATAATTCTTTGCC